TCAGTGCACGGGGTATTTTTTTAAAAATCCGTGGAATACTTAGTGCCCCATCATATTAGTTGCACCATCACCACTACGGGACCCGCCTCCCCTTTGCCTGAGTAAACCAATAAACAGGAGTTACCGCAAAAGACGCTCTTTCCTAACAGACACGGAGGCCTCACAGAGTGCAATAACTAGCGGAGTAACCGCCCGGCTCCTCCAAGAAGTCTGAGATTAATCCCAGGGCACTCTTGTTGTTGTAACGTGGAACCACGGCGGACTTAGTAAATCACGGCACAATAGGCATCTGCCATCGAGTTCCACGAATGGTTTCAAGGCAGGTCCTGTGTGCTACAAAGGGTCCTGGCAGTGCAGTCCAGACCCTCCTCCCGACACCGCCCCCCACCTCCTGCCGAGGGCCCCTCCTTCCCCACAGAAAGCCGCCTGTCGCCTGCGCCTCCTGCCTGCGGGTAACCCACTCCTGCCCAGGCCACATCCGAAGCAGGGACGCCTCACACGGAACACAGCTTCAGCCGCTAGCTCACTTTCCGGCAGCTCTTCCAGTCCCGGGGACACGTTCCCTCGGCGGGCGTGTGTCCTGGGAAGGGAGGAACGGCCACCAAGGGAGACTGCTTCATCGGAAATGAGGGAAATGCTCCGCCGTAGCTGGGAAAGTGGCTGCGGCATGGATAATGCAGTGGTTTATAAGTGAGGAGGGCAGACCCCTCCCAAAAGTGTGTCAAGACCACTGGGTGGGGGGGCGGTGTTTGCAAAACTGCACTCCCTGTGGGTACAAGGGCATCGGGTTCATTCTAAGCTCTGCCAGGGCTGTGGACAGAGCACAATACGGGGCATCCGTAAAATAACTGGAGCACAGTGCAAACCCATGTGTACCTAAGTATAAAATCCTGAAGTCCCACCTACAAATGCTAGAGGAATGCAAGCTAAGGAGGCAGAAAGAAGCAGGAGGTGGCCCAGAGAGCCACAGGTAGACACGGAACAGAAGAGAAGGTGAGGAGGAGGGGTGGGTGCAGACATCAGGCGGGCCCACAGGCCGAGCCAAGGCCCAGGAATGCCGGTCAGTCAGCACACTGGCAGACAGGACACGAGGGCCGGGGCTGGGAGCAGTGGGAGTGAGTCACCGTGGCACGAAGCTCCAGGGCTTCACTACAAGGTCAGCCGCCAGGGAGATGCAGCCACACGTGGAGGCGAGCTGGGCGGGCGCCTGCGGGGCTGACGCTGCTGACCTGGGGCCGGGGTGCGGGCAGGGGCAACCTGACCCACGGACGCTGGACAAGCACCGGCGTTCCCCGTGTGAACGGCACTGCAAGCCCCCGGTGGCCCCCAGACAGTTCCGTGCTGTCCGAACAACCTGCTGAGCTGGGCGGGGACCTTCACTCGGGGCCCACCCCCCCAGGCCCTAAAATCACACCACCTCCCACCTCCGCATTTTCCCAAGGCCCTTTCATATCCAGAGAATCTGAAACTCTCGGGTCTACACAAAAGTGACGATTCGTGTCCCTTTCACCTCTGTTGGGGATTCTGGTCTCTACCCATCTAATTCAGCCCTCACGTGTACATTCTACACAAGTTTAAGTTTATGGTCCTCAGCACCCAGTGGGCACCCCGAAACTATTTATTGATCGAGTCTGTGGGAGAGGCATTGTGTATCACCACTCTGACCCCCTGAGCAGAATCTTCTGGCACGATCGCTGCATTAGGCCGAGCTGAGAGGGACGGGCCTTTTGAATAACTGCCACGCCACTGAGGATGGCGAGAGAAAGCTCAGTGTGACCCGGGCTGTCCGCAGCTTTTGGCCGTCCTGAAGAATGCCTCAACGTTCAGACAAACAATTATCCGACTAAATGAAAGCGTTCCATTTTCTGTCACGTGCAGAAGCTATTGCCCAGTGCCGTATTTCTTTTTCCCTTTTCTTTGTCTGTTCAAAGCACCTCTTACTAGGTTCAAAGAATTCTAAATCTGCTTCAGAAACTGCTCACAAACAAAGAGGATTCAAAGCAAAAACAGGCTGTTTGAGGCAGCGGAAGGAGGGAAAGGTCCCCAAAGAGAAGGGAGACAGGACTCACCAGCTGACTTCCGGCGCTCAGACAAACACTGGAAGGCCACCGGCAGGCAGGCGCGTGCTTTCTGCCAGCCCCTCCCAGACACCCAACGCAGCCAGGCCGCCTGCGGGGTATCTCCTGCCTGACGTGAACTTACATGATCCAGAAACTACAAATTTGATTACAACTGACCCTAGGTTAACCTAGGCTCAGATGCAAGTGCTCCTACTAAATAGGAACCCTTTTAACATCCAGGGGAAATGGAGAAATTCCTTCTCAAATTCCTGCGCTATCTGAAACCGGTTCCTGGAAATCGGTTGGAACAACCAGTGTTACAAAGGTCTCTGCTCCACAGTGATGCTTCGGGGGGGGGGGGGGGGTCCTGAGGCCCGGGTCGCTCGGTCGCTCGCCACGGCGACAGACTTGCAGGCTTGGGGGAAGGAGAGATCCGGACCGAACCACTACTCCACCGTTTACTGGTTGTGCCACTTTGGGCAGATTTAACCTCTCTGCACCTCAGTTTCTTTACCTGTTAAGTGGGGATAATAAGAGCGTCCTGCTATTTTAGTGAAAATTAAAAACGCAGACACAACGCTGACCAGGCAGTGGAGCGCTCACCAGAGAGGGCAAAGGAGGGGCTTGCTGCACCCCATGAGGCCGGAGGACGCTGGTTGGGAGCCAGAGGTCGGGTCCGCCAGGCCCACTCAGGGACCTGCCTGTGAGCGGTCACTGCCCATCCAACTTGACCTGTGCCGGGGGGTGAGTGGATGGTGCACGTACGCATTCTCCTCCCCATTCCAGACCACTGGCTTCTCTATCGGGCACCCAGAAAAAATACTAAGTTTGTGAACCACAGGTGAGGGGGTCCATCCCTGTGCTCTGGCTGATGCTAACAGGTTCCTATGTTTTTCAAAATGACAGCGCAGAACTGGGTGATAGTAAAAATTCCTACTTCTGTAACTACACTCTACAGTTTATAAGATGCATGTGACCTCAGCTACTCCTCAGACACATCACGAAATGCACTGGTGCAGACAGAGCGGACCGACCCCAGAATTTACTGTTTACAAAGTATGTCCACAGACATTACCTCATTTGCTCCTCACCACAGTCCTGTGAGTTATCATCAGTGTGTGCAGATGCTGAGGCCCAGGAACCCTCCCCGTGCCAGGCCCTGGGTCGGCTCTGGGAGTGCACGGAGGTGAGGCACCTCCCCACCTTAGGCCCCTTCAAAGAGCTGACTCAACGCCCTGTGTCGGCGTCATTAACTCGGCCTTTTTACCCATCTAAATATGCTCTGTTTAGAAGGCTGCTCTTCATTGTGGGACACTGACCTTCCCTCATTTTGGGTGTTAAAGTATCTTTTCTGAAACGATGGCAATAATAGGAGATCGGGCACTGTTTTTCTTATTTGAAAGAAATGACGGTTTGGCAACCCTCTGCTGGACTTCCTGATTTGTTCTTCACTGCTCTCCCTGTTGTGACTACGTAAACAGCACTCAACAGGGTGTGGCAGAGTGACTGAGCAAAGGCGGGGCCGGTTTTCCTAGCTTCCGTCTCTTTTATGCCCCGGAGAGGCTGGACAAAGTGTCACTGATAACACTCCCCCGTCCCAGGTCACAGGACGCAGTATCTGTGGTACCACTGACTGACGGCGCACCGCGCACAGCCCAGCAGGGCACGGCTCCTGATTAGACTGGCTGACTAACACTTTCAAGATTCCATCTGATTCTCAAGGCGACTCAATTAGACTCAGAGGTAAACAAAGGTGGATTAAGGCACATTAAAGGAAGCAGGGACACAAAAAGCAAGAGCTGGGCGCCACAGAAGCTGTAAGAAAAGGTTGACATCAGTGTGGTCACACAAGCCCTAAACGTCATCACAGGGAATTCAAATAGGAAGAACTCGAAACTCACTCCTTACAGAGTCATCCTCAGCGAAGGCTGAGCAAGGAGGCCAAGGCCGTGTCAGGTTCAGACCTGGGGACTGGTCGAGCGGTTTGGAGAACTTGGGAGACACCCCCAGGGAAAGCAGCAGAAACTCTACTCCCAAAGGCCGGTCTGGAAAAGACCGTTCACAGAGGCACAGGTGTGGCCCCTGGTCGCCCTACAGTGGGAGAAAAGACAGGGTGGGGCACCCAACGAAGCAACCTGCCCAGGCTGAGGGCACACAGAGCCCGCCTGGGTGCAGGACACAGGGAGAGACAGAGAGAGAGATGCCGACGTGTGTCTTGGGAAGGCTGGAGCCTTCGCTGGAGACCAGAGAAAACACCGCAGGCTTCCCCGGGCCACTCCAGCACAGGAGGCCGGGGAAGGGCCCGAGGCGCAGGGCCCATCGACCTCCAGCCTTTCCCACTCTCCCTCCACGCGGGGACCTTTAGGAGAAGCCCTCCACCTCCCCGGCCTCTTCCCAAGCTCAGAGCTGCAGGGTATAGAAAAGAAAAGTATTTGCCCCCAAAGATCTATAAAATGCTGAAAGATCTTCAAGCAAAGCTGCTGCCCAAATAAGACTGGTTCTTAGCATCCTTAGAAACAACAACAAAAAAGGGCATTTAAAATAGACAGACTTTATAAAAAATGATGGGGAAGCTCTTTCCACACTGCCAAGAAATATTACGTGAAAAAAAGCAGGGTTCCCAATAGTAGGCTGCCATGGGCATAAAAGGGAAGGGGTATCCATAACGAACTTGCTGACAGACGTATAAAACACCCTGGCTGTGCATGGAACACCCCGGAGGAGGAGAAAAGCAGTAACACTGTTGCCTCTAACGAAAAACAACAAAAAAACTGGGTGGCAGGACCCCCGTGGACAGAGACATAGTTACTATCTAACCTTTTGTGCTTTTCATGTAAAATGTATTATCTATTTAAAATTTATTTTGGAATTAAAAACATTAAAAATGTTTAATATGTAAAATGCAAACAAAATGGCCTTTATGCAGCAAACCAAACACACCTGTTAATCTGGACAGCTGTGTCGCTGGCGCACACCAGATGCTCAGTTTGCTGAAGTTAATGGACCTCCGCCTAACGAAAACAAAGGAAAAACAGAACCAGGCAAATCCAAGGGCCTCAAGGTTTCACTTCTGTGACGAGCCCTTTACCTGTGCGCTACTGGACTGCAAGGGACCAGAGGACAGGTCCTCGCGCAGCGAGGCCCGTGCCCGCCCGGGTCCAGGGCACAAGCTTCCAGGGCAACAACAGGTCTGGCCTCCTGGCCACGCCGGCCATTTTACAAATGGAAAACGTTTAATACAAAGACACGACGCCCTGGAACCAAGGCAACAAAAACAAATGTGCGGAGATGAAAATGATCCCACACTGTGCTAGAAGTCGGACTAGTCGAAGCAGCAGGTCGCGGCCGAGTTCTGCCACATGGAACCCCATTATACTGGAAGTCTGTCTCTGCTACGGCTTTTCAAAGAGCCAGGCGTCAGGCAAAAAAACAAGACAGACTCTGAGCCTGTCTTCCATGGAACCAAAGAAATGTTACATGTCCTGGACAAGGGCAGTGGGGAACCCTCTCTCCTTGTGGGCACCGCCAGAGATTACCAGGAGGAAGGTGTGAGTAGGGAATTAGAGAATAACAGTAAATGAGAAGCCCTTTCACCAGGACATTATGAGAAAAGACAGCAAGAGAGAGAGAGAGAGAAAGGGACCCATTATTAAATACACAAACAATGGAAACAAGGCAATTACTCTAAGATGGCCAAGCTCCAGAATGTCCTAAACAAAAAACCAAAACTCAGAACCCACTCTTACGTAGGTGCCAATCAATGAACTGCAATACTCTTTGGTTTATTCCAGAAAACATGAAAAAAATAAAGAAGGAAAAAAACAAAGGTGACCGGGTTCTGGAAGAAATAAAGGTGACGGGCACCTCTAACTAAAAGGGAACCGGCGGGCAAACAGTAGGCAGTCGTCGAAGCTGCGGAGGCGATAAAGGAAATGAAGGTGAAAGAAAGTAACGAGGAAAGAGAGAGCACCTCCCCACCTAAAACGAGAGGAAAAGACTGCTGTTCCATGGCACACGCCATCTGGTTTATTTCAAGCTGAAGAAATGAGCAGAAAAAAAAAAACAAAAAACGCTGGAAATCCAGTGAACAAGCGGGATCGCCGGCGAGAATCAGCCACACACTTGTGTTTCTGCCCGGCGAGGCCGGTGCTGCTGGGCTCCCCCTGCTCGGATGACTAAGGAACGGGCTTAAATGCGTTTGACACATGATCCCTGAACTTCCGAAAAGCACTTAATACAGTGGCTCATGAAATCTTAATCTAAAAATGTTCATGCATTTATAATCAAGCTGCATCACCCCGACAACCGGGAAGGAGGGCCGGGCAGAGGGAAGAGAGGTTTGAAAGACTGCGTGGAAACTGGTGTCACCCGGGACTGTCACTCTGTGGGGTTCCCCCGTGCCCCTTTTTAAAGAGAATAACACAGATCTGGAGTCTAAAAGGAGTGCAGTCACAAGGAGAATGCTAACAGAGAAAAATGAGAGCCCTGTTTCAATAAAAGGCAGAAAAATAAACACAAGGCAACGTGACTGGGAAAACCCCACTGACATCCGCGCTACAGTAAAATCTGAATATGTGTAATGAACTGTAGGAAGGCAGGCAGGGGAAAAAATAAGCTCCTGGTAGAAAATACAGGGTGGCAGATGTAACGAAAAACTGTATGAAAGGACAATGGAACGTTACACCGAGAAAATCTACAGTGGTTATTACTGCGTGTCAGACGTGGTTCAAATGCTTCGGATACGGCAACTCACGCACTCCTCAAAACAGCCTCGTAAGGGCCATTATTATTCCTGTTTCGGGGGTGAGCAAACAGAGGCATGGAGAGGGTAAGTCACTTGCCCAAGGTTACGGCTAGAAAGAAGCAGAGCAAGGGTTCGAATCCAGAACCATGCACCAAAACTATGGCACCACAATCGATGCCCCTGACCTCTCTGGACTCCCCCAGAATTTAAACACCAAGCCTGAAATCACTGGGCTGGGAGTGAAGCACAAGTCACTACCTTGATGGATCCAGGATCAACGTATCAGCCTTCACTCACGGCTCTGTGGCGACCACTCAGCCCTGAGGCCTCCCCTGGCCCTAGTTTCTTCTAAAATGCCTCAAGTCCCTGCTGCACATGGACTGATCTGCTTCCTGACTGCTTATTCAAAGGTTAATTCATCCTAAAACAGGCAGCAGTGGTATGAAGGTTCCCTGCCTCTTGACCTTCAAAAGATCATTACGTCCTGTCTTTTCAGGCACGTGACAGAGGGTAGTGAAGCGGTACTGTACGGTTTCTCTTTTGGACGCAATGTGGTTGTAGCAGAATGGCCCTCAGAAAGCTCTGGGCACGGAGCACATTCACTCTGCCAAACCTGCAGTCTCCCCAGCCCCCTCTCATGAGCCTGTTCTTGGAACCGGAGTCAAATCCCGTTAATGGAATGTAGATGAAACTGGCAAGCTGAATGAGAGAAAGTGGAAGATTAAGACGGGCAGTCCACAGTTCAAATTAAGGAGATCCACGATGGCTAAACAAACCATATCTTCTTGGTATAGCCCATTCTCTTTTCTAATACCCACTCTTGAGAGTGGAGACTACACAATCTATTGTGGGTGAATGCAACACCCACTCCCAAACTGAGGTACCCCCATAAGTACCCTCAAACTAGACATTAAAGGTCGCCCAGAATGCATCTGTGAGTGGAGAAAGGCCTCACAGGTGGGTTATGCAGTGCTCCCTCGGGAGTCCTTTCTAAGCATCCCTGAAAGGTGGCTGTAATCTGGCCTCTGCCTGGACACCTCCAAGGTCGAGGCACTGGACAGCTCTCCTTGTGGGGAACAGGAAGCGCCTAGAGCAGTGCCCGAGCAGAGAGAGCTCAGTAAATGCGCCTCCAAGTGGGTCAAAAGCTGCCTTCCTACAACTTGAACTCATCGGTTCTGGGTGCACCCCCGGAGCCCAGAAACGCAGAGGACCCTTGGATATCCGGGCCATTATCAGGCCCTGTGGCCCACTCCTTCCAGGTGCGGTATCCCAGACCTCCATTACCTGGGCGAGCAGACACCCCCCCCACCCAGAGGTCCCAAGAGTGAGCACGGATGGAGTGATGGCAGACTGGCCACAGTCGGATATGTTCCCAACCTCAGTACCTGGGGCAGGAGGGGACAAAGGACTTTCAGGAACTCATATTCCAAACGCTATGGTCCCAGCTGCCTCCCTTCCTCCCACTTTGCAAATTGGACCTTGGGACCCGCACGCCCGCCGCCCGCCCCCCCAACAGCGCCAGATGACAGGCCCCGAGGATCCCCGACGAGCGCGATGGGCCGAGCCACGAAGAGGACTAAGGGGCTCAGGGATTTGGCCCCACGGATCCGGATCCGAGGCGCGATCCCTGCTTAGTGGAGCTTGCTTGGCTATGGCTTTACCTGTGCGTGGTTGACTACAGAGGCCCAGCTCACCCCCCGGTTGGGGTCCTACAGCTCCGCGGCTGCCGGCGGCGCTCATGGAAATGCAGCCGGAACCCCTGGCCAGTGCAGCTCCCGCGGCTACCGGCCCCGCCCAAGCAACTGCTGCCACGCCCCTGACAACCGCTTCTGCCACGCCCCTAACCACGGGAACTACTTGTCCATTGGGCAGCCCAGCCGCTGCTCTTCGAGCCCCGAACTCTCAACACACCCGGAGGATAACCCATTGGACGGAGGTGCTGCTCCTCAGCGTAAGGTGGAGCCTTAGCAAAGACAATTGGTTACTTTTGACGTCTTTGGCCTGTGGGCCAAGACCTTATTGGATAAAGCCCGTCCGGGGGCGGGCAAAGGGAAGAGGACTAAGAGATGGGTTGTGTTTGATGTTGCTGGGGGCGGATGCCGAGACGGAGGCAATTGGAACCTCTAGCTGGTTTGGGAGGGCAGTGTAAGATCTGGGGTCGTTTGGGCTGGGAGGAGGAGGAGGCCAGCTGAAGCTCACCTGCGGGATCTGATGGCTCCAAGCCGAACAACAGGCTCACCTGTAGCCCAGGGCACCAGGGGCGGAATTAGGTGTCCGGCCAGTGGGGGAGAGAAGAGGGAGGAAAGTGAGTGACCAAACGTCAAGGATAGGAAAGGATGTGGAGACAGCGGCCTCTGGCCCCTTCCTGCCGGGCAGCTAGGAAAGAGTAATGGGGACGTGCTGGGCAATGTGGACCTCAGTTCATTGTCCCACTGTCCTTTCAGTCCTGAAGACGACCCTCGCTCGGCTGGAGGCAGCCCGAAAGAATGTAGCCTTTGTTGTCAGACCTCGAACTGAGCCCGCTGTTGGCACACACAGGCTGCTGAGCAAGTCACTTCAACCTTTATGCACGCACCCCGATTTCCTCATTTGGCAACCGGGAGTGACAATCGCAGTTAGTAAGATGAAGTAACTCTGTAAACAATGACAGTGCCTGGCTCTCAGGAGGCATCTAGTCAAGACTGGTTCCTCACCCACTCACTCACTGTGGAACCAGGCCCAGTGCTAAAATGCTATGAGCCTGAAACTGCTTTTGCAATGGCATGGGCTTTACCAAGAATAGAACACTTGACTGACTTGAAATGCAACCCCTTTAGGGTAGGCAGGGCCACCCGGCCAGGGCACAAAAGGGCTGGAAAGGATGGGAGGAGCAATTTAGCCAGAGGAGGGAAGTGGTATTTGTCACAATGTTAAATTTTTTCGAACATGTTTTAGACTCATGACAAGGAAAAACAGAGCTTCCTTTATCCTGCTCAGCCATTCAAGTGTCCAATGGCTCCAGTTTCATGGAACGTGACCAAATAACCCCTTGGAGGCCCATCAGCACTGGACCAGAAACCACCGCCTGACATCTGTCTGCCAGGGACTCCCGGAGCCCATCCCCCCATTCTAAAGGTGCGGACGTGCAGGAAGGTGAGCGGAACAGCCTCTCAGGCCTGAATTTAGCCCCGAACCCTTTAGGTCTGCCTTTGAGAGGACCCGCACCCATGTGCATGGAGGAGGAGAAAGAATCCTTGGCCATGGCTCTATTTTTAATTCAGTTGTCATGTTTAGCTAAAAAAAAAATTCACCTCAGCATTTATTTATTCCATCTTGGGTAAGAAAAATCCAGGCCTCACTAGTGAAGGATTTTAGAGAAGGACTCTCTGTGTTAAAACAGTTTGGGCTTCCAGAAAAGAGCTTCAGATTTGTTGCCAGTTGAAAGTGTGCCTGTGTGCTTGGTTCTACTCCACCGTTTTCCAGTTCTTGGGTCTTTAAATGTTTCTGTTTGGTGGACGTCCATGTCTGCACCGCTGCTAGGGAAGCAGGCCTTGCCCGATTCCGGGCTGCCCCTGCCTGTGTTTGGTAAGGGAGAATGAGGCGTCTTGTTAGGTACTGAAAGGCATGAGATAGCTCCCAACACTGGGGAAGATTCCGCCAGCCTGATTCAAAGCCGCAGAAAGCAGATGTGAGGAGTGAACTGCGGATGGACTTACCACTGAGAAGACTGATTTTTCCCCCAGGTCTAGGAACGTAGGTTCAGCCAAGATTTCCGGTCCATCCAGTTCATGAACTCGAAACGCGAGCGTGTCACAGAGGCTGCAAGAGAAGCACAGGATGAGCCCGAGCAGAGGAGGAGGAAGGACACGCACATCTCCTTTGCAGCTCTGCCGGCTTCGGGAATGGCGCATGACCACCTGCAACACTTCCAACTTTCTTATTTGTCTCTGGTGGCGGCTTCCTCCCCTCTGCCTGGGCTCTTGCCATGTTCAGTGGAATCATATTATTTCATTCTATAAAGCATTGCTGTGGGAGGCCATTTAGGAGACAAAATGGACTCATTTTTGCCTTCGAGTTAAGCGAGGCTTGGTGTGGGATAACTAGTAGTTGGGACGAGGCTATGAAGGGCTTTTCAAAGCGTGTGAGTGCCGTGTTATAAAGGGAATGAAGGAATTCACCAAAGTGGAACCGGCTCTAAACTCTCCTGGGGACTCTCAGCAGGATTTCCTAACCCTCGAGAAAGCCCTTGAAGTCCCTGGAGGAGAGCAGGCAGCAGTGGCCGTGGCAGGTAGTGTGCTCTGTTTATTCTCTTTGTGCAAAATCAGTGATTCCCTTAGTTCCTGTTCACTTATCTGTATCCTTAGGGGATGATGGAGAACAACCAGGAACCTCTGCTGTTGGGGCTTGAATCCTGGCTCTGCCCGTCCTGGCCTTGTGACCTTGGGCAAGCACCTCCCCTCTCTGTGTCCCACCTTCTTCTCTAAAATCCCAGTGACAGGAACTGTGCTTCCCTCATGGGGTGCTGTGAGGAGCAAATGAGTTCAAGTGCATCAGAGAGAGCCTGGCACATCCAGGAACCCATTTCAGTCTTTCTCTAAGGCGCTAACTCACTTTCTAAGTTCTGTTACCAGAAGTTGTGATCATAGGATTCAAGATTTTTTTTTCATATATGTTTTCTTTTTAGAAATAGTTTCATTCACAGCAAAATTGGACACAAAATTCCTATCCACCCATCCCCCCCATCACATGGAGGATTTTTTTTTCTTTTAACTAGGAACATCTACCACCTGGTGAGACACTTTTTCCTTTGGAATGCCCTCATCCAAAGAGGGTCCCGAGGACTGAGTTCGGATTTTCCAGACCAGACCTCATTCACTGAACCCCCGTGAGAGAAATGGGAGAGGACGAGGCTGGGGGAGCAGTACCAAAAGCTGAGGCCTGGAGGCTCACGAAACCCCCTGGAAGGCCAGAGATGGCACGGGCTCTGGGAAATCCACAACTGTCACTTCATCGCCACACCCCGTGCTGCCTCTGTGCAACCAGCAGTGAGTGCAGAATGGCTGAGGACCCGGCCTCCCGGCCAGCTTCCTATGGATACTGGAGTCAGAGTTTGGAAAGTTCCAGGTCCCAGCATGCACTAGTTCTACAGGGACAAACTGATGAAATTCAAAGGTTTGGCTCCTTCTGTTATTAGAAAAGCTTCCTGCTGGCTATTCAACACAGAGATGAGTAATCGCCTCAGTCTGTGATTTGGGCTGCTTCCTTACACCTACGTGTTAAGTTGCCTACAATAAAAAACCATAGGGTGCTTTTATGTCCAGGACAGTCTTGGTTTATGCCTATCGCCTTGGCAAATTTTTAATAGCACCCCTTTTCATTCTCAAACAGTCTCAGAGTCTGGATGGTAAAATATGAGTTACATGGTAATACTTATACTAACATACATAGGGCCCAGCACTGCAAATGCTTATGACACACACACACACACACACACACACACACACAGGTGCTAAAAAGCTGTTCCAGTCTTATAATCACATACATACAGAGTCAGACGGGCGGCTGGCTAAGGGTGACTTCTTAGTCACCATGCATTCCTCTTCCTGACGTCATCCTTAATTACAGTGATAAGAATTGAGTTCTTCATGCTGTTAACTCAAAAGGAGTCCATAAAACTTGTCATTAAATCACGGCATCAAATACCCTATATAATTTCATGTTATTGGAGCTATTTTTAAAGCTGTTTGCATCGTACCACAGATCCCTGTATTGTTTTACCATACATTTGAATTAATTAACAGGAAACTAAATATTTTTACCGAGCAAGATGTACAGTACCAGGGAGGTAGACAGAACCATAGAGCAAAGTCCCATCCCCGTACAGGACAAAGGGGACACGCTCTGAGAGATAACCAAAAGGACTGAACATTAAGCAACAGAGAGCAATCAATGACATGAACGATTATTCAGAGGCGGGAACAGTTTCTTCTGGCTTAGACTGTTGGGACTGGCATGGGGGTGGGGTGGCTGGCATTCCGGGCGGTGAGGACACCAGAGACACGGGTCTCTAGGTGGAAGAGCACAAGCTGGTGTGTGCAGAGCGGAGCCCAAGCGCAGAATCAGTGGGCGGGAAGATGGAAAGGCAGACAGGGCCGGTGATGGCGGCCAGTTATTGTGTTCCTCTGTTCATGGCTTCCTCTCAGCGGCCTGAGCGTTCGGCTGTTACTCCAGCACAGTGCACGGCAGGCTCCAGGCATCTGCGCATCTCCTCCATCGCCCTGCCCTTATCTTTCTAGTGCCCGCTTAACCCAGTCATGTGCTATTTAATGACGGAGGTCTGTCCTGAGAAACAGGTGACTGAGGCAATCACCTCACTGCGCGAACATCTCAGAGTGGACACACAAGAACCTAGGCGGTACAGCCTGCTCCACCCCTAGGCTCTCTGATGCAGCCTCTCGCTCCTGTGCCACAAACCTGTGCTTATGTTGCTGCGCTGAATACTGTAGATAATGGTGACACATGGTGTTTGTGTCTCTAAACATATCTACACGTTGAAAAGTCTCAGTAAAAACACAGTATAAAAGATGAGCAATGCTACACCTCTACAGGGCACTTTCTATAAATGGTGGTGTAATACCACCTGACCTCAAATTATACTACAGAGCTATGGTCATCAGAACAGCATGGTACTGGGAGCAAAACAGATGCACAGACCAACAGAATAGGACTGAGAGCCCAGAAATAAAACCACATAGTAGTTTTTGATCACGGAGGCAAGTAGTTTTTGATCACGGAGTCAAAACATGCAACGGAGAAAAACAAGCCTCTGCCATAAATGGCGCTGGGGAAACTGGAAAGCCACACGCAAAAGCATGGAACTAGACCACTGTTTGTCCCCATGTACAAAAATTAACTCAAAAGATCAAAGACCTAAGCATAAGACCTGAAACAATGAAGTAGACAAGAGAAAACATCCGTATGAAACTCATGGGCCTTGGTCGTGGGCATCGGTGGTGCAGGCCCAGGGGCTCGATGAGACTGAGGAGGAGGAGGTGTGACCTGGAACCACAGAGGGAGCCGCACGGGCCACGGAAGGGGAGCGCGATGGGAGATGCTGGACGGAAGAGAAAATTTCCACTTGGTGTTTCCATCTCCTTGACACGTCCCCAGAGCAGCTTGGCAGAGCTATCTGAGTGCCCGATCCCTAGTCTTTCTTCATGAATTTTTCATTTCAGGCAAAGAGCTCTTATCTCTCACTGGGCTGCTTCGGGAGCGAGCTTTCCCATCAGCTGGAGCCTGGGCAGACGAAGGGTTGCATTAAGGCTGGAATTATCTGTCCCTTGAGAGAGAAAGGGCACTCTGTACTCTCGGGAGGACAGCTCCTACCTCCACGCCTCCCTACTGCAGACCTCGAATGGTCACATGCACTTGGGTTGCAGCTTTTATTGAGATATTGTTGAGGGCGCCGAGAGAAAGACTTGGCCGCTGTGATCTTGCCTGCAGGTGAAGTCTACCCTGGTGCCAATCACTGGACATGAGCGGGGTCCACAGCAGAAAAGAGGGTCTAGTCCTGGGGGTCCTCGTGCTCGGGTGCCTGGTGGTCAGGAAAAGGGCTGTGAGCTGCAGGCTTGAGTTTTAACCACAGTTGGGTTGCGTTGAGTTGAGACCTGGCAAGCTTGGGTGTTAACTTATTGTGTCTTGAGTCTATTTTCTTTCTGGTGTTCGTTATTGTTCAGCTTTTAGGGATGTCTTGTTGGAAAGTTCAGGCTGGGTTTCCAACTTAGCAGAATGGCTACGATCAATGCATTCGGTGAAGAGGGAGCAGTGCCACCCTGAGGCCAGGGTGGGAATAGCAGCAGGGGTCCACGATCCCAAGGAGGCCTGCCTCTGTGAGCCTGAGGCACCAGACAGGCCCCCTCCCTGATTCCACCACCGCAGCTACACGAGTTTCTACGTTTTATTTTCTCCCTGCGTTTTGTGTGTCTGTGTCCAAATTCCCTCTTTTTATAAGAACACCAGTTAGCCCTGGCTGGTGTGGCTCACTGGATTGAGCGCCAGCCTACGAATCAAAGGGCCACCGGTTCAATTCCCAGTCAGGGCACATGCCTGTGTTGCGGGCCAGGTCCCCAGTTGGGAGTGCACAAGAGGCAGCCATACATTGATGTTTCTCTCCCTGTCTTCCTCCTCCCTCCCTCCCTCCCCCTCTCTCTGGAAATACAATATTTGAAAAAAAAAAAAAAAGAACACCAGTCATACTGTATTAGGGATTCAAAGGCATCTGTATCAAACACAGCTGCGTGGGCAACTATGAAATTCTAAAACTAGCCTACCTGCTGATTTATTTAGTCATCCCTCCCTCCTGCAAACTGACTGTTCCTTTAATATGTAATTATAAATGTTTGTTAGCTGGTAGCCTTGTGATTAAATACAATTAAAACTAGCTTTATGATTTTCCGAGTTTAATCTCCTTCTAAACCATACTGAACCCCAGAAAAAAGACCCTGGCCTTAAGCAGCCCCAGCCCCCAGAAAGGACTCATGCCACAGAACTCCTGTCTCGCTGAGCCCTGATCTAGGGAAGAGCAGCGAGTGACCTGTTGGTTGAATACTGGCGTGGGGTAAATCCGTTTCCATCCACTGGCTGAAGAACTTGGCCAGCATACAGTATTGTTCCCATGGGAAAAAGCATTCCAAATTCCAAACAACTGATCTGCACAAGAACCTTCCCTCTGGAGGTTAGGGGCTGCCAGACTGTTCTCCTGCGGCTCAGTCTTCTCACAGCTTCCCACGGGCCGGTCCCCTGGCCCCCTCCTCACTTCCCACCTCCCCTGTGCACAGGCCCAGCCCTCACATGGCATCTCTCCTGGGACGCTTCAGCCACTGCTCTCCCCCTCCCTCGAACCCCTGGGTCTCTGGGCCGGGGCGACAGCGTTTACCTTGCTCACCTGGGTTACACAGACTGCGCGCAAGAGTCCTGACCTCTTACAGGATCGTAGGATCCTCAGAGGGCTAAACTGTTTTCCTCATCTTTGCATCCTTCCAGAAGAGCACAAGGCATTTATGAAGCGCTCACTGTGAAGCAAGCTCTGACGCTACGCTTTCTGACCTTCTTTCTTTTACTTACGCCCCAGCACCAAGCCGAGGACCAGGCGTGAGGTAGGTGCTCAGCAGGTGATGCTAGACTGGGCGGAAAGTCCCCCGCTGTGACACCTTTGGGCAGCTTCCTTCCCCTCGGTCTGCGCCTGGACCCACAGCTGTGACTCACCCTGCCTTTGCCTCCCTGGGGACCGGGCTCCCGGGGGAACCGTCATCTGGTGTCTGAAGGGAAGCCAGCCCTCTCTTCTCCACCCTCTACCCCAGCAGATGGAACCTAGTGCGATCACCGAGAACAGGAACAGATGGGGTCCCCGGGACTCATAATGTGAGAACAGGTGCACCGGCTGGAAATCTCAGTCTGCAAATCCAGGTGCACAGAGGTTTGACTTTGCTTTTCATAAATCAACTCCTCTGCTAAACTCGGGCAACAACCGCGGTTTTCATGGCGATGGGAAGCTTACTCCCCTGCCCCCGCCCCACGGTTGTTCTTCAATGCCCATCCTGTGGGACAAATGTCTCCTTGGTTACTGCTGAGCAGTCCAGGACCGCAGCCCCCAGACCCCGAAACTCTGTGCATTTCACCTAAACCAGCCCCCTACCTAGACCACTCTCCTGCCATCCTTCCCAGGGGGTCCAGTGTGTGGCTTCTGGGGTCGGTCAGGGAGCCAGGCCAGGCCAGGTCTGCACTCCTTCCGGGACCCACGACCTCTCCTGCCTCCTGTGCCCAGCGCCGGAGGAGGAGGAGGAGCCTGGCTCCCTCCACTCTCTCTAAGACGTCTCGTTCTCCTCCAGTGAATGTCTGAGGGAAGCTGCTCAGCCCACACTGTTTTCCCCGGCTGCTCATCCTAGCAGTCCCACTGGGGGGCCCTGATGTCACCCCACCCCCACCTGAAACCTGAGCTAATTGCTCCTGGCTTCTGCCACGCAGAGTGTCCCGATGAGTGACTGTCCCGATCAATGAGGGGAAGAAGAGAAAGACTTAGACTTAAAAGATCTCTGCCAGGCCATCCCCCCACTCTTCTCTCAGCCCTCTCTGCCCCCACCCAGGTGGATGCCCAGCCCCTGATCCTCCGAACCCACGCCACGCTCACACTTGTTCACAGCAGACTCGGTTGTCCTGGGAGCACTCCCAGTTCTTAGGTATGTCTCGCAGATCTAAGCTTCTAGGGTTTCTCCAGAGTTGATCTGGTG